CTCTGGTTTATTTTATTGGCACTAACTTTATTAAATCCATTGCTATTTCTCATAAGAATAGTGATCCATGATATGCAATTCTGGACAATCTGAGGAGTGCATTTTTTCTTGTTATTTATGTTTTGAAATTCTGCATTCAAGGAATCTGTGAAGATCAGGACAAATAAATCAGTGGGCAAAACAAAAAAATCTAAACATTAAGGGCCACCTTAATAACATTTAAATTAAACTAATCAAACATCAATTCTCACAGTGATAAGTAAGATGGTAAGCATTGTATGAATCATACTCAACAGCAAGGTTTCCCACATTCCTAAAAGTGAAAGGTGGAGTTCTTTTTCCCACAAAAGAGAAAGGAGAAAGATAACTGCTTGTTACTTTGAATTGCTCTCTCACATGAAGATACACACAGACACTCATGTTTAAAAAGAAAGGCAGGATCGGAATCCTCATACTGTCATCTGAAACTTTTCTGAGTACCTCAAAGTTATAGGCAGAAGTGGGATTCAAAAACCCCAGCAACTGGCTTGCTGGGTGGGCGTGGTCATGGTGGGCGTGGCCTACCAGAACTTCCTGTTTCCAGCTTCTGATGGGCCTTCAGAGCCCAGGGGTCTGGAGGCCTTTTGGGGTTTCTGGGAGGGTGAAAATGGCCTCCCCTGGGCTCTGGAGGCCCACCGGACTTTCAGTACTTCTGGGAGGCCATTTTCCCCCTCCTACAGCCTCTGTGCAGACCCTGCACTTACCTGCATCGTGTGGAGACTCCTGGGAGGAGAGGGGCAGATGGGGCCAGCTGGTCAGTTGAAATACCATTTTGGAAAACCAGATGTAACTTTAACATCTGGTTCACCTGAACCGGTCCGAACCGATATAATCCCACCCCTGGTCATAGGTGTTTAGAAACCTTGCTTCCTTTGTTATCCATGTCTAATTCTGGCTGTTGCTACAAAGTTCTGAACATTACTAAAATTACTCTTGACAACTTTTCTCTTGACAACATTTTGTAGATGGAAAGATTGAGGCAAATATCCTTAGGACTTGGAGACAGTAGCTCATCTTGAGATAAAGGGGATGTAAGATACCCATAACACAGAGCTGATGTTCATGTTTATTTTTGGTTGTAAAACCACTAACACTCATTGTTATTAGCCATCGTCAACAACCAACAATTGATTAGGTACATGGACCTGGCACAGTACCAGATCCTAGTTTTCTTAAGCCTCTTTAAAAACACATACTGGAGCATTCAAGACATCATCCATATAATAACTATATAGCAGCCCAAAGGGAAAGAATGGACACAAATAACTCTCAACTTACAACCAGTTGTTTAACAACTCTTCAAAGTTACGACAGATTTATAAAAAGCTACATATGAGCCATTCATGAAGTTATGACTGTTGCCTCATCCCACGGTCACGTGATTGCCTATCAGGTGCTTGGCAACAGTTTGCATTTATGACCAGTTGTAGCATCCTGCAGTCAGGTGACTGTGATTCATGATTGATTGATTGATTTTGCTGGTTTCTGACACTTTTGGCCTGTTTCCAGCAAAAAACATTAATTTGGAAGGATGGATTTGTTTACTGACCACAAGACTTATTTAACAACTGTAGTGATTCAGTTTACTAGTCATAAAAATGTTTATGAAGGATTTGTAAACACCATTACATATTATATTTGTGGTTTAAAATTTGTATTTATACTTTCCATTAATAAAAACATCCTTTATAAGAGAAACTTGATTGCTGGTGACACACTGAACATGTCTATTATGTTGTGAGTTTTTTTGCTTGTTTTGTTCCAGAATGGTGATGGTGACAATGGTAATGATTCAGCCTAGCCACCTGTCTTGATGTTCCTTTGCTATCCATACAAGTAATAACTATGCTCAACCTAACTTTGATTTCAGAGATTAAACAAGGTTAGTAAAATGCTGGGCTTAATTTCAGTAAGTAACAACAAAAAAATGAAGGTTGAATTGAATTAATCAGCATACATTTATTTTGGTAAATAGAAGCCCCTTGAAAGTGTAAAAATGTGGAGTGTTAAGATTCAGGAAAGCAAATAACTATTTAAAGGTTCAGTATGATTCCAGAGCAACAACAATGCAACCTGTGCCTATTTATTCAGAAATAAAATGAATATCTTCTGTTTCTCTCTTTGTGAAGCCTCCTAAAATATATCTAGGCATTGTAAGCATTCATATGACATACAGAAGACAATTTGTACAGTTTTTAACACATTTTATATTTCAATATGGTAATTACAGAACTGATCATCCTGCCTATGCCATAGTATCAATACACAAACAATTATTTATATCAATATCAATATATAAAATAAGGCAATTGTACTGCTATGCATAAATCTTAAAAAAATAATGACTGTTCTTAATAACTAGTTATAGCCTGGTTTCACCCCAAAGAGTGACTGTTCAGCTTTCCCTCCACATATATGTACTTGGGGACATTCCCAAAGGCATTAACAAACCCATATGGCTGTTTTGGCATGCAGAGTTTGGCATCCTACAGACTGAGTCATCATCAAAATACGTGAGGGAAAGCCCAATAGTCAGACTTGGTGTACAACCAGGCAGTGACTGTAAGATCAGTGAATGCTACTCATATCCATTCCTCCTCCTCCTCTAAGCTGTCATGTCATATCAACAAATGAGAAAAATCTTTTTTCCCCCATTACTATCAGTGAAGAACTAATGGTTCTCATCCACTTGTAATTTGTGCTGTGATTCTTAGCCCAGCAAAGGTGGAACAGGGTGTGAGACATGGGCCAGAAGAACAGAATATAACTGACTAATTTTCATCTTTTTATTGCCTATCATGGAATGTTTTTGAATTATAATAGATGAATAGATGAGTAAAAGAGAATATTTGTAGCTCAAGGTTGAAGTGTACTGATGATGTTACCTAGTTTGGTAATGAAACATCTGCAAGAAAACAACCAAGCTCAGAGACCACTAAGGACCCCTCAGATAAGTGAATGTTTGGGGTAAATTTTGGGTAAAACAAAATCTTGATAGCTAGATTAGAATATAGACTATTTTAGGACAACAAATTACGAACAGGACAGCTACAAATATGAATTGAGTTCTGTAAAAATACACAACCCTTTCCCCTTAATATTTATGCTTTTCATCATTTGTTGTTTTCCAAACTGCAGCTTAACACTCAGGCACAATTTGTCTCAATTAAGGGTTGTATTCGTTGCAAAGAAGACTATTGAATCCCATATCCACAAATGGACAGAAGAAATGTTCTGAGTTCTCTAAATATTTATCCTACCCACTTGAATAATTTTTCCTACCTCTCTTCACTTCAGCAACCAAAATAGTAATCTGACTACCCACATGTGGAAAAAAAAACTCTCTCTGTTTCTTAAAAAAGAAAGATAAAGGAGGTGACCATGTTATGTACCCTCTCTGTTTCTTAAAAAAGAAAGATAAAGGAGGTGACCATGTTATGTACTTGTCTTGGCAACAGCATGGAAATTTTGTTGACTTGACATTTTGTTGACTTGACGTGGAATTGTTTTTTTACTTCCCAATCTAGTCAAGAATCTAGACATTTCCTATTGATATAAGTCCAACCTTAGCATATTGGGAGAGTCCCTCTCTGAGGGATATGTGTGGTTGGTTCAGAAATATGCAAAATAAATAAATAAAAGTGTTGAGATCAACTAGGACAGCTAAGTGCTACTATTACTTCAATGCAAATATTGTACAAGACATTGTCTAAACCAAATTCCAGAATATTCCCATTATTTACTGGAAAAGTAAAAGTACTGTGTATTTCCTATTAGTGGACTTTTTTCTTCAACATTTTGAAAAAGATGATAAGGTTTTGTTCAGTGGCAATTTCTATAAAGAGGACATAGGCCTAATGCTTGAATTAACTCATAATTATTAAATCTGATGAGAAACTGAAGTTAAATAAATTTATCCAATAGGTGCTTTTTCAGGAGGCCACTGGACTTCCTTGTTTGTTTGTTTTTGAAGATGTTTTGCTTCTCATCCAAGAAGCTTCTTCAACTATGACAGGATAGCGGGGAATGGAATCCCTTCGTCAGATCTGAAGAAGCTTCTTGGATAAGAAGTGAAACGTCTTCCAAGAAAAAAAACAAGGAAGTACAGTGGCCTCCTGAAAAAGCACCTTTGGGACAGCCATGACCTGGATGGCTGAGAATCTCTGCACACTTTTAAATAAATTTAGTTATCAATAATATTTAGTTAGTTTTTTTCAATTTTATGCTGCCCATCTCGGTCTTATTAGGTCTACAGTTGATGTGGAAAGTAAAGGAAAAAGTGGTTCAAGGGGAGGTAGGAGCGCTCGAGGCTGTCACTCCTTAGCTGGGAGAGTAGATCCCAGGAACAACATCAAAGCTCTCTGTCCAGAAGGGTGCTCCACTAGGAATAGTTAATGTCCTGCACAGAACCCTCAGAAGTCCCAGGACTCTGATGCAGAACCCAAGACTGAGATAAGACACATACCACCCATAAGAGTGAAAAATATTAATCAGCTTTTTATTTATATGTGCATTAATATTTATTAATATTTATTAATAATGAGATATAGATAGATAGATAGATAGATAGATAGATAGATAGATAGATAGATAGATAGA